GGAGCCCGGATACCGAGGGCGTTGGTGGCTACTGACCAGCAGCACGGCCACCCAAACCAAGCTCTGGCCAAGCCCCACCAGCCCAGGGACTCTCGGCAGTCACACGGCGAGGTGTGCGGTTTGGGCAACACCAACACTCACTTGGCCAGTTCCCTCACAAGAGCAGGGGACAGCAGTGCCAAGGGGGGTCAGTGCCTGCACTGGGGGCTTCCAGCCCCTGTCAAACGCTCTGTAACGCTTCCCAGGGCTGCCAGAACTCCGCAGAGCGGCTTCCTCCGGCTTGGATTTGAGCCCTGCTCGGACAGACACCTGACAAGTTGTTTGGATTGATGTTACTGAGCCCTGTACAGAACAGAGGAGGGGGGAAACATTAAACATTTCCATGTTTATTATAATTACAATTTACATTACTCCAAAGAGCAGCCCCACTGCTATGTTCTAATTCTTAGCAATAAAGTCCTACAAAAATAAATCCAAGCTTTTACAGTAACCTAGGTCAATGCATAACTAAAAAAATTCTAGCTATGTAAGGGGTTCAGTCGTCAAGGTGCTTTTTCAACGAAATTCCCTACCAACGAAAAAAGGGACACATGCCTATAGCAATTTAACCCACTTATTCATGCAAACAAATGTAACCCCTCCCTCCCAGCCCCTCTCCCCACATACAGATTTTTAAAAACAAAAGAAAACCAACTAAACTATTTACAGTATGGGGGTATAGAGGAAACAAATGAAACATGCCCATCTGTTAAGCTTCATTACATGGACTCTCATCCCTAGTTCAACAAAAACATTCCATCGTGTTCCACCACAGTCTACTAGTGTACAGCGAGCTGCTGGCGTTCGGTACCACCCGCGAGCGAGGTACGAGCTGAGGGAAGCAGCCAGAGCTTCTCATCTCCTTCCCAGACAGTCAACTGCTGCCAAAAACTCCTCATTCCGAGCACTTGCCGCTCCTGTCCCGCCGAGGACACAGCACGCTGTCCCCCCACACCGCCCTGACCCCATAAGGGGTTCCAAGCCTGAGGAACACCCAGCACCCTCCAGCTCGAGGCTCTGCGGGAACCCGCGGTACCTCCACGCTCGTACCGGCCAACACACAGCTGTACAGTCATTTACACTACTACATGATCAACAATCCAGTATTCCCAAGTGACAATATACACAACTCCCCAGCACCAGGAATCCGTTCTTCCAGATACCAGTGCTGCCTCACACCTGCTGCTGCGACCAGGGAAACCAGCAGCACCAAAGGATCCATTTGGTTACTCAGAAAAACAAATTATAGCTGGTTTATTTCAAGTGAGCTTTGGTTCCATGTTAAAAACAGCATGATTTATCTTCTTCAGGGTTCAGAAAAGGAGTCTGACTTCAAGCTTACACTATAGCAGCCTTTGAGAGACCCAGAAAGAAGGACCATGTAAGTTAGTCTGCACTTAAAAAAAAACCAAACAAACCACAAACAAAAAAAAAAGACACCCTGAAGAAGGTACCCCTGAACACATTCCCTCTTCCAAAGAACATTCCAGCTGACAGTTGCTGGTCCAAAATAAGTCCAGAATAGAAGCAGTAGTACATGAAGTTCTGTCGCTTGAGCTGAGACAGTAAACAATATGAACCATTTTCCCACATTAGTGCAGCAGTTGGTTGTTTTCTTTCTATATACAGTTTCATCCCCTCAGGAGAGATGTTAGAACCTGTTCAGAAAAAGGGCAGAATTAGATTTGGTACCACAGGGACCTTCTCCCCAGAGAAAGAAAAGCAGCAAAGTTCACACCCATGAGTCAACTGAAACGTGCAGCAGGAGCCTCAGCTCAAACCAGCAGGTCCTGCTTCCCCAGCCAGAAGGGCAGCCCAAGAAATCAACAGAACCACCAACACACTCGCACGTTAAAACCACTCGTGTTTCCTTCTGCCACTTAGGTACGATAGGGAACAATTCTCGATATATCCATGAGACTGGAGAGCCACAGATGTGGCACAGACAGTTCAGGCAAGGAGGAGGAGACAAACCTGGCTCAGAGAGTATCGATTCTTGCGAAAACACTTGCCTCTGAAGTTACACTCTGCCAGTACCAGCTCTGTGAGTGGTTTGGTTTCGCCTTGCTGCTCCGCTGCCCCTTCCACCTCGAAATCCACCACGAAAGCTGCGGCCACGAAGGAACCGTCCGGACACACCGAACGTTTCTGTATTGAGCTTTCTTTCTTCAGCCCACGTGGTGCGCCTGGAACTGAACAAGACTGCGTTCAGAGCTAACATAAACGTTGAAGAGCCACCAACTCACGTAGCTGGGAAGCTGCAAGCACCCTATGTTGTTGAACTGAACCGCAACAAGAACCAGCTGCGGTGTACACGTGCCCTGCAGCTCCATTCCTCCGCTGAGCGTGGATGTGAAAGTGACAGCTGTCGGCTTCTGCAAGGCCTTTCATACTGGAGAAATAAAGATGGCCTAGAAAAGGGCTGGATGGCGGCTCACGGGCCCTTCCAACCCCGGCGGCTCACGGGCCCTTCCAACCCCGTCTTATTTTCTTGACAACCACAACCTCTTGACTCCGGTGAAGCTCT